AGAAGGATTGGCGGGCCATTAGGGTTGCCAAGTTGCAGCGGGGGATTGTAGGTCTTCACAGAATCCTTGCCGTGGGGACAGCGAGACGCGTTGCCCCTGCCGTCACCAGGATCTGATGCTACGCGTCGCTCTGGCATCGGGGCTCTAAACAGCGCCATTGCCAGAGCGACGTATAGCGTCATGTCCTGGCGACAGCGGTGCAACGCGTCTCGCCGTCCCCGCGGCAACGATTCTGTGAAGACCTACAATCCCCCACCGTGATTTGGTGAGATTTGGCAGGCCTACTCACCACAGGTGCTGGGGGGCGGGGGAGAAGGGGAGAAGGCTCACCTGCAGCTGCTTCCTCCTCCTCCACATGGAGCTCCACCCCGCGAGTATCGCGGGTCCCTCTTCTTGTTTTATAATACCGACAGCCAACTTTAATTTAAAAAGCAGCTTAATGTAAAAGGTTCATGGCTGTATTCTACCCTCCACACACACTCACACGGCAGGGCTCTGAATGAGGGTTGCTGATCTATTTTTTGATATAGGCTTAATGGAATGTTATTTACTTCCATGCCAAGAATGTATTTATTTACTGCATTTATAACCCACTGGGAACCCAAAGCAGCTGACATTGCTCTCTTCTCCTCTGTTTTATTATCAGAACAACCTTGAGAGGTAGGTTAGGCTGGGAGTGTGTGAGTGGCCCAAGGTTACCTGGGAAGCTTCTGTGGCAATAGTGGGGGTCTGAATAGGAGTCTGTCATATTTTGGTCTGATGTGCTAACTACTACATCGTGCCAGCTCTCAAGCTTCACCTACACATTTCTGTTAGATCGCCACTAACAGAGGATCGGAGAGTGATTTTCAGCAAGTGATTCAGCTTTATTGAAGTAACGAACAAGCACTTAAACGCATTCATAACCAGAACAAGAAACAATTGGGAGCTGGGCTCCTTTTAAACATTCCTGGGCTAACATAGCCACACCTATTTACAATAATCAACCAATGAGGTTGTTTGGATAAAGACCAATGAGCTTACTTCCCTCGCAGGGAATAGTAGCAGTTCTGATTGGTTGCTGTTGCAGAGCGACCAATAGGAGTTCAGTTCAGAGGAGCCTTTGTTCGGCTCAAGCTTAACATAGAATGTCAATGGAGTGATTCATGTAACACGTTCAATACATTACAATTCCTCCCTCCTAAGTGAAGACACCCATAGTTCAATTACAGCATATTTACATTTCAGTCATTGCTATATACATCATTGCAGTCATAGTCACTTAAGTACGTAGGCACTCGCCGTACGCGCTGAGACCTGCGGGGGGTTGCAGACTCAGCAGGCAAACTAGCCTGTGGTTCACATATGGGCTCATTGCTAACTGGGTCAGGCACATTTTGTTCAGGACTGGCAACCTCGCAGGCAGGGGTCTGCCCTGCTTCGGGGTTTGGACTTACCTCCGTATCAGGAGGACTGTACACAAGGTTGGGGAACTCGGCTGCTGGAGAGTCAGCACTGTCCTTAGCCCATCTCTGTCTCAGCTGATCGATATGGCGCCTCCATGTCCTACCATCAGCCAGCTCTATGACATACATTCGGGTGCCAACGTTCTTGCGCACCACCCCCGGGATCCATGAGTGCCCCATAGCATAGTTTCTGGCAAACACTTTGTCCCCAGCTTCCAATATGCGCATGTTCGTTTGGGTATCTGTGCGTTCTGCTTGTTGGTCATTTAAGTCTGGGTGCAACCGGTTTAGGAGAGTGGTAAGACGTCTGCCCATTAACAATTCGGCCGGACTATGGCCCGTAGCACTGCATGGGGTAGTGTGCTGCCTTAATAGGAAAGAGCCCAACCTCTGACTCCAGTCCCCGTCACCCATTTTTTCCAGAGCCTCTTTGGCTGTACGTACCATCCTCTCAGCCTGCCCGTTTGACACTGGATGGAATGGGGCTGAAGTTACTTGGCGGATGCCATTGTTGGAGAGGAATTGTACAAATTCTTGCGCCGTGAATTGGGGCCCGTTGTCGCTGACCACTACGTCCGGCAGTCCGTGGGTTGTGAACAGCCGGCGTAATGCATGAATTACTGCTGTGGCCGTGGTCGAGGGCATAAGCACTACCTCCAACCATTTTGACATAGCGTCCACTATAATCAAAAACATTTTCCCTTGAAAAGGGCCTGCAAAATCTAGGTGCAGCCTAGACCATGGCTTTCCATTTGTTTCCCACCTTTGCGGAGGGGCCTGAGGGGACTCTGGCCTGTTCTGTTGGCACGGTGAGCACACCCGCACCCACTCCTCAATTTCAGAGTCAAGCCCCGGCCACCAAACATACCCCCTTGCGAGTGCTTTCATATGCACCATTCCCGGGTGCCCCTCGTGTAAGGAC